ACCACAGGGGTGTTCAAACTTGACAGCTTTAAGACTTGTGGACTTCAACTCCCAGAATTCCTCCTCTTGCTCTTCATCTTGATGATGGGCAGACGGGCGGAGGGAGGGAGCTGGAACCGTTTCTAAACGGCACTGTAGATTTGTGGAACCTCTTCTATAGAAGAGGTTAGAACTGGCAGGAACCCACCCCTGACTTCCGGAGTCCAGGGAAGGCTGTTTTTTCCCTCCTGGAGGCTCGAGGAAAGCCTGCAGAGCCTGGGGAGAGCAAAAAAAACCCCTCCCCCCACCGTGGTGCAGGAAGTCGTCTAGGCCACGGCCCCATGGCCACGCCTACCTAGCAACCAGGCAGAGAATTGATTGCTAAAAATTTTCAATCCCACCCAATTGCAGGATTTCATCTCAGTGAGAAGAAAGGAAAACAGTTAGTTGACAGGAAGCTGTTAAATATTGACAGACTGATCTGTCAGAGTATTCAGGACTGTGAGGAATGGGAGACTTGATTCAGGTTTTTGGCTCACCCTACCCCACTCCGGCTCAGTTAAAAGTGCCGCGTGAGCAGAGCCATTCTGTAAAATAGATCAGAAAGGGAGATTCCGATTGCCCAAGTTAGTAAGTGTAATGGATTCATGGGGAACTGAATTCTGTCCATCTAGATCCAAAGCAATATACAGGTGGCCCTCGATTTACGAGCACAATTGAGCCCCAAATTTCTGTTGCTAAGCGAGGCAACTGTTGAATGACTTTTGCTCCATTTTATGATCTTTCTTGCCACAGTTGTTAAGTGAATAGTTGCAGTTGTTAAGTTAGTAACATAGTTGTAAAGTGAATTTGGTTTCCCCTTTGACTTTGCTTATCAGAAGGTGATCACATGACGCTGGGACACCACAAACATCATAAATATGAATCGGTTGCCAAGCATATCAATTTTCATTACATGACCATGGGATGCTGTGATGGTCGTAAGTGTGAAAAACGGTCATAAGTCCGGAATTGTCCTGACTGAACTGTCATTAATCAAATGGTTGTTCAGTCGGAGACTACCTGTACCATACTAGCTCTGCAGAGAAGCTGCTTTCTCCAATTAAACCGCAGAAATGAATGCATTTGGGAGGGGAGGTGCATTTTCAAAGAGAGCCACTCTGTGCAGGTAAGATTCGGATACTTTCACTCCGCATAATCTTTGTAGAAAAAGGACGGGTTTGGGAGCACCCATTTAGCATGCAGAATTTACACAGTTTGCTAGCCTTACTGAGAATAGGTCTGGTAATTGCCAATTCAGTGTAAGTGCTGCAATCCCGTCTTCATGAAAACTATGGGAAATTTGTCATAATGGCTGAGAACATTATGCTATGTGGACACAGTCACTGTATTTTCTTCATTTCAGTTCAGTATGTGAACCTAGTGTCAGGCCTACAGTTATATCCTTTTTAGGATCTTTGGCCTGCCACACTCTCTCTTATTTTATTATGCTGTTTCATTAGTGTTGTAGTTGGGAGGGGAGAATAGAAAGGAGTAGAATTGTGGAATGTGTTGTTGTCATTCTTTTCTAGAAGCCCAAGGTCTTTTGTCTCCGCACCTCTGCACCTGACTGGAACCAGCTGGGTGAAGCCAGCGTGGAAGAAGAAGATTGGACCATGTGATGGATTTGTGGGTGTGGGGACAAGATCATGAACTTTCAACAGGGTGGGAATCCTAGGTAACTTCCAGAACTGGGATTCCACAGATGGTTGCCAACATGTCTGTCTTATTAAATTGGAACTTTAAGGATTTCTTTGCCTTGGACTCTGATTTAATTCTGCATGATATTTGGAACACTGACACCTAGCCTTATTAAAGTAGACAAGTATTATTTAAGCTGGGGAAAAAAAGAGCAGAAAATGATGTGCGTCAGTGGTGGGATTCAGAAATTTATACTACCGGTTCCCTGTGCGTGGCTTGGTGGTTGTGATGTGGCTTGATTAATGTGGTGTGGCTTGGTGGGCGTGGCAGGGGAATGATACTGCAAAATCCCCATTCCCAGGGGAAGGATACTGTAAAATCTCCATTTCCACCTCACCCCACTAACCTGCTTTCCAGCTCCGTTCTCCTGTGCAGGGCAACAAAAGAAGACCCAGCCGATCAGCTGGGACTCCAATCAGCTGGGCCTCGGGGGGCAACGGATAGATCGGGGGCAGGACCAGCCAGAGGTGGTGTTTGCCGGTTCTCCGAACTATTCGAAATTTCCGCTATTGGTTCGCTAGAACCAGTCAGAACTGGCTGAATACCACCTCTGATGTGCATGCTTTAATACACTCTTCTCCAAAATAGGTGTGTGATGGCTTCAGCCCTCAGGATTTTCCCAGCAAATCCAATTGTCATACTTACTATATTTGTCCAGTGTCATATCATTATGCAATCATGCCATTTGTGCAATGATGTCACAGCACATTCAATGTGGAAACTAAAATCTAACATCCCGTGGAAAGCAACAGGTTGGAGTAGACCAGGCAAGAACAGCCGCATCATTTCCTACCCCATATTATGTTTCCTTAGCCAGGGTGAAGTCTGGCTTGATCCACAGAGCTTGAAAAGGACAACTGGCTAAGAATGGGAACCCTATTAAGAGCAAGATGGAGATTGGAAAGAATCGTCCTGGGTTTTGAAGATGGCTAGACGCATGCGGCTGATTGCGTGGTCCAAGACTGGTTCTAGCTGTACGTCTTCCTGATAGGTGCATCCTTGGCCCTTACCAGCGTGCGATATTCCAGATCTTCTCGGAGAAGTCGGTTGTCATTCAAGGTGTACTTTGCCTTCCCAGTTACCCAGTCAACGGGGCCCTTGTCTACTTGGTGCTTGATACCCCGGAAGAGCATATAGAGGGGCTCCCCAACAGAGTCCTAATGGAGAAACAGAGAAATCCTCATCATCTAGAGCAGAGGTGGAAAACTTGATTTCATTGAGGGCTGTATCAGGGTTGTGTTTGACCTCGGCAGCCAGTGTGGGTATGTCTGGGGTGGGTGTGTCCAGCTGCTTGTCATGTCAGGAACGTCTGTGGTGGCCCAAGCTCTTTGCCAGCAAAAACGGGCTCCAGAGCTCCTTTTGCAGCTGTGACGGCTTCCTGCCAGTGAAAATGGAGCTCTGGGGGCCGCACATGGCCTTCCTGAGCTTCATTTTCGATGGAGAGGGTGGCAGGAGGCCATCGCAGTCAAAAACGGAGCCTGGGAGGGCCTCACGAACTCCGTTTCTGCTGGCAGAAGTGCCACAGGCCGGTCCTTTGCTGTTTCTAGGGTGTCCCTGTGGGCCAGATCTAAGCACCCCACTGGCCGGATCTGGCCCCCGGGCCTTGAGTTTGACACCCCTGATCTAGAGCATTTAGAGTTTCCACCTTACATTTCCAACCTTTTAACTGTATGTAAGAAATAGATCAGTGGATGATTGAAGTCTTTGGCCAGGTTCAGTGCTAAATTTTAACTTTCACCTGGCAAAGAAATCCAGTCTGATGTGCTACATTAGTACCATGCAAATATATTATAAGTTGATGGATCTTAGGGAAGGCACCACCTGCGTCTCAAAACCCTGAAAGATTCAGAAGGACATTCAACGTTCAATTCATAAGATAAGCAAATCTGTTTTAGTCAGCAGTTGGCTGGCTAGCAGCAGCATTAAATATGTCTGGGCTCAACCTAAGCACTAGTGTGCCAAAACCAGGCATGGTATAGATCCCTATTTCACAGGTCTGACTGTTCCCAGTATGTCATCATGTCACTAATAAAAAAAAAAGCTTGGCTAGAATGTCTTGTTCCTGATACAGAGCCAGCTCAGATTCTTATTCATCTGCTTTAGCAATATTTAATGCACCCGAGGACACGCACGGATGTCTCCCTAAGCCTTCTGTACTCCTCCATCAAGATCCCAACAGCTGAGAATGAAGGGCTCCTTGGCATTAGAGCGGAGGGTTATGTGGCTACCTGGCTGAGAAGTACATGATATATATTATTGACCTTCTACGTAGAATGGAATTGATGGATGTCTCACCCTGACGAATGCGTAGAGGCAGATGGACATCCAGTTGGTCAGCAGCTTCTCAACCACAGTTTCTGTCCTGAAAGAGAAGTTGAAGTTGCTTCAACCTTGATCCCACTGTATATTGTCCTTCAATGCTACCAATCCTCCCCATTGGTTTAAAAGAATCCAAAACGAAGGATATTAAAAACTACAACCTAACACTGAGGATGGAGGCAAATTCAGTTCTCTTAAAACACACACACACACACAATTTGACATCGTGCAGAGAATACCTGCCTAAATCTCTTGTGAGTTGTGGACACAGCTTCTTATAGAAGGGATTCTACTAGAACTGGGGTTCTGGGAGTTGAAGTCCACAAGTCTTAAAGTTGGTGACCCCTGTACTAGAAGGCCCCCCCTGAAAAGACCTTTATTCCATTCCCATATCAAGATGTGATATATGCTATTGTTTCTTAGTGGGCCATTGTGCTAACTGGCAAATACTGGGAATGGAGTATTGCCTTCTTGGCCACAACCAGGGGTGGGCTGCTACAGGTTTGCCCGGGTTCAGGAGAACCCATAGCTAACGTTATGGCTGGTTCGGATCCTCCCACCGTGCCCCGTCCCTCCCAACCTGCCCCTCCCCTCCCAGGAGTCTCCATTACATTTGGATGCAAAGTAAGTGCAGGGCCCGTGCAGAAGCTCAGGCAGGGTGGGAAATGGGCCTCCCAGAAGTTTCGGCAGACCAGAAACGGGCCGATTTCCGGCCTCCAGAGCCTGGGAGAGGCAGTTTTTGCCCTCCCAGAGGCTCAAAGAAAGCCTCTGAAGCCTGGGGAAGGCAAAAATGCCCCCCCCCCATGGTACAGGAGGCTGACTGGGCCACGCCCACAATGGCCACGCCCACCCAGCAACCAGGCAGATAACCTGTTGCTGAAATTTTTGAAGCCACCCCTGGCCACAACTAAGTTTTTTTTGCTGGTTTCTGCTAGAAACTGAACACTGGATTAATATAATTGTTCTGATTTAGTTCTGATGGTTTTTGGTACAGTAAGTATTCAGACCAGGACCAGGTTTATCTATATGAGCCAGCAATCAAGAGAAGGTTATTCACTTTGAGAAAGAAGAGGAAAAGCCTCTTAGATCCAAAGTCCTGTTTCCACAAAGTTATACTAGATGCCTACAAAAAAAAATCTGCATATCAGGAACAAGGACAATAAAACTGCCCTCATTTTATTACCCCCCAATCTTTGTAGTATCCCCCCCAACTATCTGATCAGTAGCATGGACCCTTCCTCAATTTGCCTATCTGCCCCAGGCGTTTCTTCTGAGCGTGACCCTCACCTTCTCAGCATCAGCTTTGGGTTCTTGGCTACGTATTGCTCTACCAGGTCATTCAAGAGAGTCTTGAGGATATCGGTGAAGTACTCAAGCTTCCCATGCAAGGCGACTGTGAGAAGGGATGCGACATAAGCCCGGTCCCTTGGAGAAAAGGTACGCTGGATTTCCAAGGTGTGAATAAACTAGACAAAAGGGAGATGATTTAAGATGGCATTGCAATTAGGCAATTATTGGGCGAGGGGGCAGAATAGGCATTTTAATTGATTGTTAAGACAAGCAAAAAAAAAAAACACAACCCCATCAACCCTCAAGCAGGAATAAATAAAGCCATGTCACATGCAAATGAAAGAATATATGCAATCTGGGCAAGAGTGCATTTTCTAAGAAAAAAAAAGAATCACAGTGTAATTTCTCTCCAACCTCCAATCTCTTTTTCTGCTCCTCCACTCAAAGAATCTGTTCATTTTTGTTATTTTGCATCCTGCTTTTTATTATTTTTACAAATAACTTATTACAGGTACTTACAACCATAACGGAGCTTGCCCATCATGGTCATAAGATGTGACAGTTGTAAAGCAGGTTGATCACACGACTAACCTGATTTTATGACTACGACATAAGATGTCATCAAGTGAGCAGCTACGGTTGTTTAGCAAATCAATGGTTCGCTATGTGGGGGAGGTTTGCCAAAAATCAGAAGTAAATATGGTGGAAAACATTGTCATGTGAGCGTAGGATGTTGCAGACGGCCATAAATGCGGTCCAATTCTCAAATGAGTATAGTCATGTGACTGTGTAGACGGGGTCAACTGCTGGAACTTAGAATCTTGGTCATAAGTCAAGGACTGCCTGTAACAGGCTTTTGTTATAAAACTTTTTAAATAAAAAGTTGCACTGAGTAGCAGTCGTATGCTTGGGAGGTTCTTTTTAAAATTCATTTTGTAATAACTGCTAATAGACTTCCAATGTTTTCCTATCTTGGGGACTAGGAAATTGCTTTTATACTTCATGTAGTGAACATCCACTGACTTTGCACAACACTATTTAACTTTGTCACTGGGTTACCCGTTTTCTGCATTATATTGAAAATTCAATGAGCAGGCTAGATTCGCACAACATGCCAAGGCAAAACAAAAAACAAAAAAACCCAAGTTTTTAAAACAAATTAACTAAGTTGGAAGTGCCCTTGTAGGTCATCAACCCCCTGGCAAGCAGGAGACCCTACACCATTTCTGACAAATCTTTCTCCTTGAAAGTTTCCAGTGATGAAGCTCCCATAACTTCCCAAGGCAAAGCTGGTCCATTGGCTGAGGGTCCTCACGGTCAGAAAATTTCTCCTTATTTCTAGGTTGAATCTGTCCTTGATCAGTTTCCATCCATTGTTCCTTCTCTGGCCTTTGGGTGCCTTGGAAAATAGCCTGACCCCTTACTCTCTGTGGCAGCCCCTCGAATATTGGAACACTGCTATCATGTCTCCCCTGATCCTTCTCTTCACTAGACTAGCCATGCCCAGTTCCTGCAACCATTCTTCATACGTTTTAGCCTCTAGTCCACTAATCATCTTTGTCGCTCTCCTCTGCACTTTTTCTGGAGTCTCAACATCTTTTTATAGTGTGGTGATCAAAACTGGATGCATTATTCTAGGTGTGGTCTTACTAAGGCTTTATAGAGTGGCATTACTACCTCACTTGATCTTGATTGTATCCCTTTGTTAATGCAATTTAGGATTGCATTGGCTTTTCTGAAACCGAACAAGTTTAGCATGTTATTTGAGTGCAGTCCGTAGGCCTTAAAACAAGCCTGGGCATTATTATGGAAGTCCAGCCATAGCATACTGAACGCAACATTTTAGTCTATTCATTAGGGCCTGGATCCTGCCATGGCAGAACTGTGTTTTGTATGGTTAATTTGATTTGATTCCATATTTAAAACATACCTTGGTGAGAAAGAGCTTGCTGTTGAGGAGATTGGAGAGCTGCACCAGGCCTTGTTCAACTGTCTGCCGGCGAGATTCAGGCACATCGAGGTCCCTTTGCAGTGGGGACTCCCGGTGGCCTGGAAAGAAGATCCGTTCTGCATAGGATTTGTAGTCCAAGAAAGGAATCCCGGTGCCAACCAGGTCACTGGTGAGATCCATCATTTCAGTCATGAGGTCTAGAAACAGAGGGAATCACACAAGACATGTGGAAGTGGCCTGAGAAGAGAGGGTCTGTGTGTGTGTCATAAACGTAGAAAACTGAAAGTGTTTCTGCCTCATATCAGGAACTGAGTGAACATGCCATCTTCATCTATGAGATGCACTCAATATATTTAAACCAGAATGGGACAACTCGCCATAGCCAACTTGCTGCAGCCAACTCGCTACAATTTTCTCACCGCCAACTCACCGTGTGGGAACTCCCTGAGGGACAATTTGATGCGGGATAACTCAATGCGATAAATATTATCCGCCACTGTTTCTTCGACATTATTTTCATTGACAAAAATGGAAATAACGCAGAACAGTGGCGGATAACATTTATCGCATTGAGTTATCCCATGTGGATTGGCCCATGGCAAGCTGGTCACAGTAAGTTGTCTTACTGTCCCCATTTAAACAATGTCTTAAAGGCCAAGAAATCCAACAGGATCTATCTGCTGTACTTAAGAACATTTTCTTGAGCCCTCCCCCCACCCTTCATAAACCAGCAAGATGCCTATATTGTATAATTATTTCTAAATTTCGAAGGGCACTAACTCTAGCATGTTGTAATGAAGCACTTCTGGAGGGCCGATATAAAAAAAGTCCCATATGACCTGAGACTTTATTGCCTTTACAGACAAGGGGCCATTGAAACTACAGCTCATATACTGTTATATTGTTCCCTCTATAAGGATTCACGGACTCGTAACTCCTTACCTGGTAAAATAACTGGGAAATTGTTATCTATTTTATGTACACAGCTGTTACTATCAGTTCAGTTCATTTCTTTGAATGAAGTTAAATTCTATTATCATGTCTGTTAAAATGAGGCAGACTTTGGTCAGTCATCGGCGTTCTCACCACTAACTGTAGTGTAATATTAACTTTTGTTCTGTTTTTTATTTTATTTTTAATTCTGATCTGTGACTGTAAGAAAGGATAGAATCGGAAATAGTACCTGTAAATTCCTTTTTGCACCGATCCCGAACACTTGTTTCCAGATTTTCGAGCTGGATTTGAACTTTTTTATAATCCCTCAGGGCTTGTTTGCTCTTTCGCCTATATTGAAAAAAGGAAATAAAACCATGCCGGTCCCTTTCTTCCCAAATCTTATGCAGGTACCCCCTTTATTGGTTAATATAGATGTAGTCCTCGACTTACGACTGCAATTGACCACCTTCTTCTCACCTGTAGATGAAGACGATGATGAGTACAATCAAAGCTACGAAAGAGGTGCCCACTCCCAAGCCAATCTGGGCCTCCAGGGGGAAAGTGAGCTGGCTCTCTGTGTCATATTGCACACGCCCGAGCCAGAAGTTCTTGTTTCCCATTTGAACCTGCAGGAGGACAAACATGTAAATACAACAGCCTGGGAGATACAGTACGTATTGCATCACCCTGGACAAACGTAATATATCTCTCAGGCTCAAAACCTAGAATGGCATGTGGCAATCCTTCTAAGCCGAGTTCTTTTCGTGCCTATAGACAGAATCTTGCCAGACTGAGCATTCTACTGTCTGTGTCTACAATGTAGTCTGTGAACTATTAGGGAGGGGCTGTCTTCACCCTCTTTCTCTCATAATATCTGAGCTGCGTTACTCCTCTGGAATGCACCCCTCCCCTCCACCTCCTCACTACATCCCATCACAATTTCTCAAGCACCACAGCTAACCACCAGCCCTATGCTTCCTCCTTTTGGCATTATTTTCTGAACTGTCATTTTATTGACAAGAATTTGAGATCCTTTATCTGATAGACGAGGTTTGTGCAACCTGCAGCTCATGAGCCGCAGGAAGCCCTGGACAGCTAATAATGTAGCCCCACAAGATTGTAAACTTTTAACATTCTTAAGTGATTTTAGCAATATTTATATACATCAGCTATATTATATTTTTTATATGCAGCCCAAGACAATTCCTCCTCCCTAAACACAGTCCAGGGAAGCCAAAAAGTTGGACACCCATTCAATACACCCTCAAAGCTGCTGGATGGGGAAGGAAGAAACCAATGACCATACATTTTCATTAATCCCTTCCCTTCCCCCGGTTTCCTCTGGAATGGATTACACAGCATTGCAATTTTTAAAGCAGAAAACCAAGCTTCTCCTCCAGTAATATTGTATTGCACACTAGGGCACATAAAACTTTCGCTAGACCTATTCTCGAATACAGCTCATCTGTCTGGAACCCACACTGCATATCAGACATTAATACAATTGAGCGAGCCCAGAGATATTTCACAAGAAGTGTCCTCCGCTCCTCTGCTTGCAACAGAATACCTTATACCACCAGGCTTGAAATTTGGGGCTTGGACAACCTAGAACTACGCTGCCTTCGGTCTGACCTGGGCATAGTACACACAATTATGTACTACAATGTTCTACTGTACCTGTCAATGACTACTTCAGCTTCAACCACAACAATACACAAGCACACAATAGATACAAACTTAAGGTAAACTGCTCCAAACTCAATTTGAGAAAACACGATTTCAGCAACAGAGTGGTCAATGCCTGGAATGCTCTACCTGACTCGGTTGTTACATCCTCAAACCCCCATAACGTTAACCTTAAACTGTCTATTGTTGACCTCACCCCATTCCTAAGAGGTCTGTAAGCGCACCAGTGTGCCTACCGTCCCT